ATTGATTATACGATTAAAAAAAAAATTTATAGTTAAATTTAAGCGCAGTTAATCTCGACATACGTCACATTGCAATCGGTATAAATTTTGAAACGACGCATATTAATTTGAAATCCAGAGATATTATAGAGCGACATGTGACATATTTACGCGGATATTTACAATGAATATTTATACAGATATTTGTTATCATAAATAATTTCACGATTATTCACGGATTTTGTGTAACTGAATATTCACTGCTAATTGAATATTCATTTAAATTATTATGAAATTAATAATAATTTATTTTTAGAATTGCTTGGCAACATTCATATAATTGTTTCAGCATTCAATTGCAACATTATAATAAATTTTGATATAACGCAGGGAACATTTCAAATTACACATTGTCAACTATATTCAATTGACACACAAGAAAAATAAATTTTATTATTGTTAAATGCAGGCAAAAATGTACGGGTCTACAAACACATATTTCTACAGTGAATGTGGTAAAGTTGAATAAAAAAAAAATTGAAAAGAATAATTAATTCAGTTTATAAATAGGTAATACTGAGTTTTTATGTCATGTGAACTTATATTTTAATAAAAGGTACGTACATAATTGATAATATAAATTTAATAAATGCGTATATATCTATATATATATATTCATAATAATAAATAGATAATACGCACGTAGGTATGTACTGTACGTACATACGTATGTACAGTACATTATAAGTATGTATGTACATAAACGTTAAGCTTAAAAAAATATATCTGGTGAAAATCTACATCTTTTTAAACTAATTTCGCGATGTTCTCGATATACAAAACATGATGATCGTTCGGCGAAACCCTATAATAGAATTAAGGTAAATTATTGTTAAAGATCAACGAGCTAGTTTAAAATAAAAGAAATTAGTCGTATATTATTGAAACAGGATCATCAATTAAAATTACCATATTTTGGTTTCTGGAGTCAGATTTTCTTTTTATTTGGCTCAAGTGTGTACGTATGTACATGCATTGAAAATGAAGTCAGTTTAGGCATTCGTGTTTCATTTTCCAATTATCGATAGTTTTATTTATATCAAAGTACTTTATTGCAAATACTGTATACATATATATATATTTTGTATGGAACATCATGTCTGTCAATGCGTGAAAAAATTTTGACATGAAATATTACTGTATTAAACAAAAGAGCAAGTTATGAGTAATGACGGTCAATTATATAAAATGAAGTACTGTATAATGATGTAAATACAAAACACTGGTTGAGACAGTTTGACAGTTTATGATTTATCGTTATGGCATCATTATGGTAATTAGATATGTAAATCATAATATCTCTTGATATATGCTAGGAATTTATTCAGGAGTAAATTTTGTATGCTAGGTCCAATAGTATTAACCTAAACTTTTTTTCCCCATTTCTGGTAAAAGTACGTACGTACTGTACGTACTTGAAAAAATGTATCTGGTATGATATCATAATCACATGACTGTTCAAAGTTATTTTAAGGTAGGTTAAAAAATGTCGCGGCGACGTAATCGTCGACCATTAATATGTTGATCATAATAGCATCATACACATTTATATATAGGCTATATATAGATGTGTACGTTTTCTTTTAGCGACACTCATTAATTTAGTATAATGTAAATGTTATTTGATCAGTATTAAACTCGGACTATCAGATGAGTCGGAAAACAGTCGATGATCACGTCACCGCGACATTTTACAAATCCAATTCTATCTCATTCATTGATTAGAAATGGCTCATCATAAATTAACGACATTTTTACAAGAACCAGTGATTTTTCTTTAATTAAAGAATATTCTCGATTACCTAAAGTCATCGAATGATTTCAAAGAAATCGATCTAGCTAATCTTGGATAAAGTTTATAGCATAAAAATTCTAGCCAAACTCGAAAATTTTGCATTCTTTACTATACTAATAATATAGTTTAATAATGACGATTATTTTATTTTGTGGAATGTATGCAGGTACTTAGAAGTGGATGCAGGTATAATTGATTTTTTTTTTTTACAAAAGAATTAGCTATTGCTGTATTGTTCGAACTGATACTTAAGATTACATAATTAAATAACAAACCAACACAAAAAAATAAAAAAAAAATTATTCAATTATTCGCATTAAAAAGGGGGATCATCATTCCTTTTAAAAATCTTAATTTAGAAAGTTATTCAAATTTGGAAAGTTTATTCAAATAGAAAAGAGAATGTCGTGACTCAAATATTGGGTACTTTAGAAAATCATGTTAATCTTTAAGTCATGTTTCTACCCGAGTAGGAATACAAGGGCAGTTAAAAAAAATTCCGAACTAATTTTTTCGTTGACCAAAGTTGTGTATCATAGATTATTATAAATAAGCAAATTTAGAAAAAATGAGTTGCATTAATTACAATTAATGGTTGGATAAAAGTTTAAAAGTTATACAGAAATGGCAAGTGATTTCAAAACTTTCAAGTTGCGTAAACTAAAAAACACCACTAATAATAATACTCTAAAGTTTGTTACCTATATGCACACTAGCCCGCTGAGGTCAACTTATTAAATAACTACACAACATAATTAACAACCCTTATTATGGTATTGTAAATTAATAAATTATATACACTTATGGTTCCACTTGACCATCGGGTCGTTTAAAACTATATCGTAAATGCATATAAAAAAAAACTTAATTATATTAAATTTAATAAATTTAATAAATTTAATCAATTGTAGTACGATTAACATGGTACTTTACTTACTTTTGTTCAAAAAGTTCTATATGTGGTATGATAAATTTTGTACCTTTTGGGAATCAAAACAAACTAACAATAATGTATGTAATATTGCACGACATAATCCACGATAATGTTGTTAAAAAAAAATTAATAAAAAGATATAGATTTTTTCTAAAATAATGCCATATTTCCCCATGAAAGTATGAAAACGTTGAAGTTCTTGCAACTAAAGAGCCGGAACCCTGGAGGCCGACAAAGCAGGCACAGCTTCGGTTTCTTTCGTACCCAAGATGAAGGTATATCAAATATTCCTCCTAAACCGGAGAGAGAAAAAGATTTTTCATCAACTTTAAAAACTTATCTTACGAAAAAAAAGAATCGAAGTCAAAGAGATCAAACAGCGTCTCGTGAGGTTCGTGCCTCTGCTGTTGAAGCCTTTACCATAAATGGTCTAAAGGAAGAAATACGACAACGGGAGGCTACGCTGGAGGCCTTAAATAAAAGGATTAAAAGTATAGAGTCAGAAAGAGATCGAGCGAAAGTAGAATTAGAAGAAGCCCAGACGCAGCTCAAGGAGCGTAGTCATGAGGTCCGGGACCTTAAGGCCTTGCTCCCGGAACGTGACGAAATTATTGAACAATTAACAGAAATTGCTAATAAAATGAGAAAGGAAAAAGAAAATTTACAAGCTGAATTAGATAAAACAAAATCCGAACTTAAAGTTCGAGAAGGAGAAATAAGAGAATTAAATTTTTCATTACTTGAATGTGCACATGATTTACAAGCAGCTAAAACAGACCTTTCAGCTACAATAAGTGAAAGGGATGCAGCACTTTATGATATACAAAAACAATTAAAAGAACGAGAAAAACTTGTACAGACACATGCAAAACAAATACTTTCTCTTCAACAAGAACTTGAGTCAGCACGAATGGATCTTCACACTACACGGGAAGAACTTGAAGCAACACAAACCAAATGTAATGCAGAAATAGATGCAACACAAGCAATGTGTTCAGCAGAAATTGAAGCAACTAAAGCAAAATGTATAGCAGAAATAGGAGTTATAAGAGCGAAATACGCAGCAGAACTCCATGCTACAAAAGAAGAACATGCAGATGAATTAGAGGCCACCAAAGCACAGCTTTCATTTTTCAAATCACAACTTGATTCGACTAAAGCACAACTTTCTTTTACCAAATCCAAACTTGAGTGGGCAAAAGCAGATTTATCATCTATTAAATCATTATTGGATACAGCAAAATCAGATCTTGCCACCACGAATAATAAATTAAAACGAACAACAGCAGAATTAGAAGCAGTTAAAGAAGAAGTTGATGAATATATAGATATGATGGCATATAGAGATGGACTCACTTCTTTAATAATATCAGTTTATCAAGAAGATATTCGAAATGAAAAAGAACGAACAGAATCAGAACTTGAAGATACACAAGAACAATTAAATAAAATTAAATCTACACATGAAAAAGAGAAAAAGGCAAATGCCAAAACTATAAAACAATTAACAAATCAAATTCAAAATTTGACAAATTCACAAGGTAAAATTATTATTATTATTGTTAAATGATGTTGGAAAGTATTCTATTTTATATTTATATTTATATTTACAAAATAATATAATATTTTATAGTTCAAGAAAAATCTAAAATATATCAACTTGAAACCGATAATGCTAAATTACGGAAACAACTTGAGCAAACGAAAACGCAAGGTTAGCTGATTTTATAAATTTTTGATATTTATATATGCGTGTGTAATTTATTTATTTATTTACTTATTTTTTTTTTTTATTTATTTATTTAAACAAAATAGCCGCAGAAGAAATAGCGTGTTTACATGCCCAAGTTGAAACGTTATTGGCTACATCAAAAGCACAAGATATTATTAATGAAACACCTATTTCTACCGCCAACATATCAACACCACCAGAATCCCCATGTAATTCGCGACCAAGTAGTGACCTCTTTAATGAAATGACAAGTGAATCAAATAGTATACCCGATGGTATAATTAATGGAGGTATAAATACAGTAGTTACAACTG